TGTGGAGCGGAAGTTGGAAGTCATGGGGTGAGGCAGATATGATGCTGATGATCACAGATGGTCATGTGCCCACGACCAGTCGTTGGTCTTCAAATAGCGGTTGGCTGCAACTTTGAAGTGTTGCAAGTTCTTGGTACAGAAAGGACCAGAGAAGACTCCGGCGGGCAGATATCTCTGCTCTCTGCGTGGCAGTGCTAAAGAATCTGTTGGTGCAAGTACTTTGCACGCTTGGTGAGATTCCAGCCGTCTCGAGCGCCACTGGCAGGTGATCAGATGCCAGGCAGTGATACACTTTTGATAAAAGGTCACGGGCAACGTCAGCTTCATCAATATGAGCTTCGAGTGCGTCAGTGTGCTTAAGCGAGTTTCTGCCATTCTTGCCCTTACAATCTGAGACTGCAGATCGGAACATACACCGCAAACATCTTCTTTTGGCCTCATAATTATCACATCACTGCACACGCTGCTCCATATTTTCAGGAATGTTGTGTATGCTGCTATTCCTCCACCCTTGATATAGTCAGTATGCGCATGCTTCTTGGTAGTAGCACATGGCAGGTAAGTTGGAGCGGGCCTCTGGCCCTGGTGCAGCAGGCTGGGAAAGTCCCTTGATGTAACCTAGTAACCATACATGTAGTTGCAGGCAGTGCTGCTTTCCAGGGCAAAGTACCCCACGTGCGTGCTGTGGGGGAGCAACAGCATGCTCATACTCATAGACATCCGCCTTAATTTGTTTTAGATTCCACTCCTTTACATAATGATTATGTTCGTACATGAAAACAGTCTGGCACACTTCGTCACCATCCACTTCATAGCGATAAGTGGACCGGGCCTTTCTCCGCGCTGCATCCGTTGTGCGATGCTTCCATGGTGAGAAGTAACTGCACCGCGTCATCTAAACACATCGAGCTTTCCAGCGACGTAACAGTACAGCTCCTCGTTCGTCATTGCGCGCGCTGTGTTGGGTGCAGTGAGTAGAGTATCCGGAGACACGTTCTTGAAACAGTGGACATCAGCACACCTGCAGCCCTTGTCCACTCGCGCCTGTACCTCTTCAACAGTACTGGGCGCTGCCTGGCCACGGGATTTCTTAGGTTGGCCCTGTCCTCGGGCGGCGAGGGCTTGTGCTGGCTGTAGCGCTGGCGCCTCGTCCAAATTCTCCTCCGCATCGATCGCAAGCGCGATCGGCAGCGTCACGAGCGGAGAGGCGTCGGTCGATTCGTCATCGCCCTGTGTTGTGAAACGACAAGTTCTCGAGAGTGAAAGGCCTTCTCGCTTGTTACATTGTGTTCGTCCAATGCAGCTGTATCCCAACTCCGCCGTACCGCTGATGTTTACGACGTGGCATACGCTACAGCTACATACAGGCGCTATGTGCGGTTTGCTGTGTGCGCTGTAGTTGTATGTTGTATGTGTATGCTTTTCTCATATACGCTGTCATTTTAACGCTATTACTACCTGGTGGTTTTAGTGTTAGTCATTCAGTTGTTCCATTCATTGTTCATTGTCGTTAGTCGATGGAAGTGAAATATACTGTTGAGAATAAATAGTTGTCCTCGTGCCGTGTGGGGTCGTTCGTTCCTGATACTTTAGAGAACCAGAGGGTTCACAACATTTGGCGACCACGCCAGGATACGAAGCGAGCATGGCACAGGAACTATGGATCATTGAAGCCAGCTTTATCGCCAACGGAATTCGGTATGGATTTGAAGGCGATAGGTTGAGAGAATACTTGGAGAAGAGGCTCCGACAGAGCGAGGAGTTTGAAGAGCGCAGTGCTAGAAGGCAAGAGTGTGCGCTCCGCACAGAGTTTAACGAAAAGCTCAAGAAGATGGCCGAGCGCATCGCCGTCGGTACATATTATGAGGAAGCAAAGCGAGATTTGCTTGCCTCGCCCGGAAGGACGCCGGACAAGGCGTGTAAGACTTTGCTTACAGACAAGCAGCGGTCAGAAGAGTATTCGAAGCCAGTGGGAGGATCAGATCCAAGGCCCACTGGGTCGGTGCAGTGCATGGCGACATCGGTCGGAGACGCTCAGAAGCAGCTGGAGTCTCGGCCGAACGACGTCGAGGCGCAAGACGTCGAGGCGCAAGACGTCGAGGCGCAAGACGTCGAGGCGCAAGACGTAGAGGCGAAAGACGTAGAGGCGCAAGACGTAGAGGCGCAAGACGTAGAGGCGCAAGACGTCGAGGCGCAAGACGTCGAGGCGCAAGACGTCGAGGCGCAAGAGTTAGAGGCGCAAGAGTTAGCGCAAGAGTTGGAGGCGCAAGAGTTGGAGGCGCAAGACTTAGAAACGCAAGGCGTAGTAGCCGAGAAAATGAGAAGGGCGATACTACTGGTTAGCACGGACGAAGTAAGCGGCGAGACTGTGTGGAACACAGAGATCCGATGTGTGTCCTCGGATTCCGCGCCCGCCCTGGGTCGAAGCAGTGTACCGGTGACCGTGTCGTGGGTGACAGCCCACATCGTCGAGCTTTATGACATTATCGGTTGTGTGTTGTCTGGTCCAGCGTCTGCCTCATGTCGAAGTGGATCGGTGACAGTGTCGTGTGCGACAGCCCACAGCGGCAAGCTTCGCGAAATCGAGATGGCTGAAGTGGTGGGCATTAGTGATATTCTACCATGGCCACCACCGCAGCAGCAGATGACGCGTAGTAAGCCCCAAATCGTTTTGACTTAGGAGTTTTTGTACGGCGGTGAGAAGCCCTTTGGTGGGGAGAATGTTGTGAAACGACAAGTTCTCGAGAGTGAAAGGCCTTCTCGCTTGTTACATTGTGTTCGTCCAATGCAGCTGTATCCCAACTCCGCCGTACCGCTGATGTTTACGACGTGGCATACGCTACAGCTACATACAGGCGCTATGTGCGGTTTGCTGTGTGCGCTGTAGTTGTATGTTGTATGTGTATGCTTTTATTATACGCTGTCATTTTAACGCTATAACTACCTGGTGGTTTTAGTGTTAGTCATTCAGTTGTTCCATTCATTGTTCATTGTCGTTAGTCGATGGAAGTGAAATATACTGTTGAGAATAAATAGTTGTCCTCGTGCCATGTGGGGTCGTTCGTTCCTGATACTTTAGAGAACCAGAGGGTTCACAACACCCTGGTCGTCAGAATCTTGATCTGACCACCCAAAGAACGATCTATCGTCATTTGGCAGTGCTGACGACTCCGCTGCCGAGAATCCGACAACAATTTGTTCGAACGAGCGCCTTCGTCCTCCTTCCGCCATGACTGTCACCTGCGATGATGAGAAAATCGAGACGTGCTGACGTTTTCATCATTTTCTCCGAAAAATTACACAGCACCGAAGGGTGGTTTTAGCAGACCGCGGGCCATGTTTTTGGACTCTTGATAGTAGATCTACATGACTTGTGTCAATAAAATAAAAAATATAAAAAAATATTAAATTTCAGCATGGTTGAAGGGAAAATTTCAAGAAAATTTCAAGAAAACGCAAAAAGGATGAGGATGGACATGTCGTCAGTGCTAGAAGAGGTGTTCTACTAAGGTAAGGCAATGTTGGTTGGATGGAGTTTTGTTCGCAGCCTATTCTTATACGCTGTGGCGTGGCTCATGTATAGTCCCATGAAGCTTGTGGTTTTCTGCTATTGTTGCGGGTTTGCCAATTGCAAAATTCCCTTCAGAAACTTGTCAGCTTGCTTGGCACAGTTGATCGACACCCCAAAGGAAACTTACCTGCAAAATATTAGCGAACTTTTCTGCTTGCTTATCACAGTCGATCGCCACCCCAGAGGAAACTTACCTGCAAAATATAAGCGAAATTGGATAGATCGACTTGCACAATTTGTCTGGTTTTCTCAGACATGTTCTCACACCTGCCTGTTGCCTGCCACCCTCCTGACACTTCCATTCGCCTGTTGTCTCTTCTAGCGCCTTGGCCTCTCTGTTCCTTACGCCTCTGGACCTAGCACTAAATGTGTGCATGACTGTGGCTGTGTTTATAGGCATACTGCTGGGTAGGTGCAAGTATCACTTGTCTGATGATTGCCTAGCTACAAGTGCCCTATTTTTAAAACCAGTGAAAAACAAATAATGTTTCCGTGTCTGAATGTTATTGAAGTCGAAACTCGGCCCCAAGATGGATGTGGATCTCTGTTGTTCTGCCGTGTGAATTTGCTTTGCAATTATCAGCGGATTGAGAACTATCTAGTAGCAAGGATCTCAGACCCTTTGTCCTTTCTTTTATACTTTACATTATACGGTTGGATCAACGGATTTGAATACTGTATAGCAGGAAATTTTCGGACGGAATTTATTTTCGTACGATTTCGTACACGCCCTCTTTTGTACTAAAATTAATTCCGTACTAAAATTTGTTGCTGTGAAGTTATGTGCACTATACATGCGTACCGCAAGCAAACAAGTGCATTTAGCATGCACCACTGTACGAAAATAAAATCCGTACGAAAGGTCGAAATTCGGCTTTGTCCGAAAATATTTCCGTCCGAAAATTTCCTGCTATACAGTATGCCATTTTAAACAAGTATCGCCAATAAAGCAAGAAAGTGCCTTGGGACCCCAAAAAGCCCACAGAGTTGGTCTTCTGAAGGCTTTGAAGTTTCAAAAAAATGCAGGTAACCTCTCTGTCAATAGCGGGCGTCTCACACCAAAGCTGGCAGTACCAGGAAAAAGGACGTATCTGAGGTCCTTGCTGCTGAATAGTGCTAAATGGTCAATAACTGAAACAAAGGCAGGAACATGCTTTTAGAATTATAGCCTTTGGTTCCTGTACTTGCTTTTATATCTTCATTCAGTTGCTCTTAAACCTCCTGCAGAGCTTCTAGGCACGTATCACCTCCCGGTGTCAGTAAGGCTCCCTGGGGCAAAATCACTGCACCATTGTTCGGCCATTGATTCACTCCTAATGTCTCTGAAAAAATAACCATAATTTCCCCAGTCAAACGGTATTTAGACGCAATTTCAAATATTCTTTCACACTCTTTCCTTCCTTGTTTAGGAGTTTGTTGAATAATAACCTCCGGCATCTTCCGAGTGGAGTGCCTCAGGACACACCAGGATTAAAAGAACTGTAAGTCTTGCCTGACAAGCAGTAGTCGCACTCCCATTCCCACTGTTTCACGATTCAGCTATGTTTCCTTCCTCTTAGGATCTATGAAGACCTGGGACATTGGAACTTTGGGAACAAAATCAGGATAGTCAAAGAAGTCGCCGCACTTTTTGTGGCTATGGAGTATGCAAGATACGTCACACACGAGACTACTAGTAATGATGGGCCAGAGTAAGGAAGTGCTTTTTCGGTTTTTGATGGAGGTTTATGACGAGGAGATAGCGGGCAGCGGGTAGAAAATAGCTGTAGGAGGACCCGTAGCTTTCTCAGCTCCTACCCACGAAGTGTGTCAAAGGGGAAGTGCATCGAATTTCCAAGTAGGGTCCAGAAGAAAGACACTTTGGTATCGGGTCGAATGGCATTTCTCTCGCTTGCATGCAATACGCCAGACGTGCCAAATCGCCAGTTGTATGCTCACGTTTTTATAGCGACCAGCGCAGTGAAGATGCACATTCTGCTTAGCTCCGTGAGAGAGAAGGTCGATCACTGTAGAATTAGGTCATTTCAATTGTTTAATTCTATTCACAATGTGAAAGAACGGCTGTGTTCAATGCTGTTAGTGCCGTGAACTGGGTTTTGGCCTTCTTCTGGTTTTTCAAAGGCTGACTGTAGCCTCGAAAATAGTTCTTCCAGGAAAAGATAAACAGGACCAAGGAAATACAAGTTACACTATACTGTCCACTAACACCACCATTTACTAAAAAATCAGCTCATGCGATAACATTGCACGACACTGACCGACGGTACAGACGTTCTACAACCATCTTGCTAACAACTTTAGCACATCTTGGATGCGCACTCCGGCAGCCTTCCAACTTGAAAGGTTCTAAGTTATAGAATTACCATAAGGAGGGGAAAGGAAGTTCAGTGTCGTGCAATGTCAACGCAGGAGCTGATTGTTTAGCAACTGGAGGTGTTAGTGGAGATTATAGTGTAACTTCTATTTCCTTGTGTTGTGTGCGTAAATGTGATAAGGTGCATGAGCGCCTGAGCTGCTGGCTGTTTTGCATGCTTGCTGTGCTGCACTAGACTTCCAAGAATGTGAGCTCTCTTTCCTTGTTTTTCAGTTCCTTCACTATTAGAATAATCATACAAACCTGTGTGATATTGTGTGTGCCCTAAAGGCCAGATATAACAATTGGCAACGAAGATGGCAGGGCGCAACTCCAGATTAGAATTTTTCGAAACTGGGGATTTTGTCGAGTATGCAGAGAAACTACATGTTCCCGGATCTGGGTGAAATAGAAATAAGAATGGATTTGGACTCAGATGGAGAGCCAAGGTTTAATTTATACAAAGAGAAAGACCAAGGAACTACAAGTTACGCTATACTGTCCACTAATACCACCAGTTACTAAGCAATCAGCTCTTGCAATAACATTGCACGACGACGTTACTGACGTTCTACAACTAACTGGTTAACCCTTTGTGTACCAGCCCCATCTCGAACCGTACCATATGGTACGGTTCGCTGCACTCCAATCAAGCGCGCCGTTCCCCACCGCCGTAGCTCCAATCGAGCCGCGGTTTTTTGCACTTGACAGCTGAGATCCCACTGAAAATTTTGATGTATGATATGGGTAGGTTGCCATTTGAAAGTATGGAGAACGAACGCGTTCAAAAGTATGCTTTTCAGCGCAAACAATTGTCGCTGTTTCGACCGTGTTCTCGCTCAGTTTTTCTGCTTGTAGCGAAGATGTAGCTTGTTCTAGGTCATGTCGACGTCTTCTAGACGTGGTGGACGATTGGAGAGATCGGCTGTGGCGATATCATCGCGGAATGCGACTCGAAATTGAAAATTTGTATCGCTGATCCCATCGCAGTATTCACTCTCAAAACAGGAGCGAGAGGGAGGGCAGCGATGGCCTAAAATCGTCAAGGCAGGCGTAATTCACCAGCCAGCGACTGCTTCTTGTCTTCTCTTTCACTTACCTGACGCTGGATGTGAGTAGCTGAAGAAAAATATAGATTTAGAATCTGAGACAAGAATTCAAAATTTGCAATTTTGAACCAATTGTTTTACCTCAAATGTGTGACAATATGACCATTTCCCTGGTATGTTGTTACTCTTCATGCACTGAGACAACGCTTATGAGGTTGTTTTGTCCCTATGTTCCCAGTACACGAGCACAAACTCATTCTCAGTCTATTTGTTTGTGATACCCTGGTTGGTCAGAAATATGCACAATTGGCGCGTATATTTGGTATTCCACCTATGGCCTTCATATACTACTGCATGCTGTACCAATATCCATGCGTACCTGGGTGCAGTGATACATATGGAGTCAGGAAAACACAACTTGCATATACAAAAGTTGTCTAGATTTCATACCATGGTTGCTTCTTTGGCTGCGATAGCCCCTTACATACATTAGATGGCTGGTACATAAAGGGTTAACAGCTCTAGCACATCTTGGATGCGCACTCCAACAGCCTTCCAACTTGGAAGGTTCTTAGTTATAGAAATAACTAGTAATCTCCTGTGTGACGTATCTTGCATACTCCACAGCCACAAAAAGTGTGGCCACTTCCGATGACTATCCTGATTTTGTTCCCAAAGTTCCAATGTTCCAGGTCATCATAGATCCTAAGAGGAAGGAAACACAGCTGAATCATGAAACAGTGGGAATGGGAGTGCGACTACTGCTTGTTGAATTTGTATGATGGCTTTGTATTTTAGATCGCAGATTTTATCGCTGCACGGGTACCCTTGATCTCAGTTACCTTCGTCCGAGTGCAATTGTTACTTTTGCTCCTGAATTGCTCTCCCTGTTTCTTTGCAACGCTCCTCCTCCTTCCTGAACCCCTATCTTTAACTCCATTATCACATTCGCTCACTTGTAATTGGGCTTGTGCCCGTGTGTACTTGCGAATTCAAATAAAAGCAGACCTGTACTTGGAACTGAATTTGAGCTAGCTTGGAACTGTTGTAGGATAGTTTCTTTGCAACGCTCCTCCTCCTCCTTCCTACACCCCTATCTTTAACTCCATTATCACATTCGTTCACTTGTAATTGGGCTTGTACCCGTGTGTACTTGCGAATTCAAATAAAAAAATATACATACATACGTAAAAGATCATTGACCGGAGGATGTATCCAGTGTGCTGACTGAGCGTAATACAAAACAACAAGTCAAGGCTTGTTTGCTGCTACTTCAAGTTTCATGCTCTCGCTGATGATGATGCCTGGTGATTGCGAGAGCATGAAACTGTTTTGTACATACCATTGATGATGGGTGCATTGTTTTTTATGCATTTTGTGCTGTGCATTGCGATTCTTCCATTTATATTGTTTTGTAATTGTGCGATTGCATTTATTGCGCCGATTCTCTTGTACCTTATATCGGGGTTCAGCATAAACATTGTATTCTATGTGTTGCTTTTCCCGTACTAGAGGCTTTATACACATGGGTCTATACAGCTGTTTCATGTCCAGAGTATCTTTCATTACCATGTAACATACATGTATGGACTCTTTACTGTAAATTACATGTAATTTGCCCTTTCTAAGGAAATCATTGCCATCATTTCGTGATTGGCCCAGAAAAAGAATCTGCTGACTACTAAATATACACTTTGTATCTGATCGACACTATCCTACAACAGTTCCAAGCTAGCTCAAACTCAGTTCCAAGTACTTCAGAAAAAAATCCAACCCAAACCTACCATGTATCAGGTTATCTAGAATGAAACACAGATAAAGAACCAATCAGAAGGTGCAACAGGAAACAAACTACCTGTTCTAACTGCGGTACATACGGTATGATACGGTACATACGGTATGATACGGTATGATACGGTATGATACGGTATGATACGGTATGATACGGTATGATACGGTATGATACGGTATGATACGGTATTATACGGTGCATACGGTATGATACGGTACATACGGTGTGATACGGTACATAATAATTATAACCTAACCAGTTGATTATATGGGAAATATAAACCTGTATATTGGTTTATATTTCCCATAAAATCAACTGAGTAGGTTATATTATGCTTATACTGAGCTGATATACAAACTCCCCTCTCCCCCACAAGGGTAGAGATTGGAATTCCAACCCACAACCATGGCTCGATGAGTCTTCCTTTCACCAACCTGTGCGGATCAAGTACAAGACTACCACTGACTCTGTGCAGTGCATGCAGTGCAGTCCCATCACACACTCTTTGTGACTTCAGCTTAGTACTGAAGTACTAGTTACATCGGAAGTAACAGCTATGCGCCAAGTTAGTAAGTTAGTTTGAACCTCACAGTGCTAGTGACCGTTACCGCGCGCAGATCTCACCGCGGGCTCTGTAAAAGAACCGTTTGCTCATTAGAGACATAGAGGTCTTCTCCTTTCCAAAGTAAGAGTAAAATGAATCAGCACGAGCCTGTTTAATCGACTCCCAAACGTTTCTTTAGTTCTTCTGAGGACGACCACGAATCACGATGCCATTATTCAAGCAGCAGTTTCCAAGTACACTGGCAGTGCCACGGATTATGGCTGCGCATGTTCCGTCCGCTCTGCGAGGGACGCGGAAAGGAGAACATCGATTGGAAAACCATCAGTAGTGAAGTTCCGTCGCCCCTGCTATCTGCATTTTATGTCGATGCAAAAATGCAGGAGGAGCGGCACGCGGGGCTCTTCAGCCGCACATGTCGAGTGCTGCGCTTGACAGACGGAGTGCTGAAACAGCGAAAAAAGGACAGCCTCGAACGTCAGGTGCAGCACAAGGCACCTGTTAATAAGAACGACGTTGTATTCTTCATCTTTGACGGGAAAGAGTATAAGGTATGATACGGTATGATACGTTATAATACGGTATGATACGGTATGATACGGTATGATACTGTATGATACGGTAGAAAGTCCGTCTACTACACTACCAGTGCGAAGTGATGGACAAACTGTGTGACAATATCAAAGTTTATAACAGTAAGAAGGTGACAAGTTTGGCATCTGCAATGAAAACCATAACACTATCCATGCCTTACATGACTTGAGTTGTCTCCTGCATCTTGTACTATTTCTCCATAATTACATGCAGATATATGGACAATGGAGTATCACTCAATCTTCGCCTTTGCGCTCTTAAGATCCCTACAGATTATTCAAAAGGCAACATCTTAAAAGGAGTTATTGTAAAGAATTATGTTTCTGCAAGTAAGTAACCCCTTTTAAAAGACAACACACATTCCTGCGCATACTGTTGAACTTTACTCATTCCCTTCCTTTACACTTATTGGTCTGTTTACTGCAAACAGATTATCCTGGAAACCTTCTTCCAACTGAAAGAACGAACAAGGAATGAGAGTCCTGGTTCAAGTTCTGCTGGTGACAGTCAATTTTTTTCTTCAGACTTTTCTCGTTTGCATCTTTCCCTCAAACTAGTGAAAAAAATATTAAATTTATAAAACGCTAAGAATAGAAATAGAGTACATCACGCATTACGATGGTATGAACAAAATTAATGGCAGTGTTGCTACGGCTTCTCCGCTTTGTCTGTTTTAGTTGTTGTTGGTGTTGGTTATTGTGACTGTAGAATTGCTACTCTACGTTCGCTTTGCTGACGATTTGTTTACATTATTCAATATTTACAGTTAAGGAAGAGAGTGAAGAGTCGGTGGAAAGAACAACAGTAAACTGCGGAATGTTACAGTGATCGATGATCAGTACAGCAAGTGAAATTCACCCAAGCTAGGAGTGCACTGTAACGCCACCGGAGAAATTACAATGCATGAGAGTGAGCTTGACCACTGCTCGATAGAGCTAACAAACGTCCCTCCGACTTGGAAGGTTACAGCAATGAAAGTCCCTGGTCCGAGTCCTGGTGGTGAAAATCAACCATTTTCATCAGACTTCCCCCTTTTCATTCTCTTAATCTATGAATACTTGCTACCATTACAGCAATAACCAAAATTATAATCATCGGGGGTCCGTACTGGTGGCGCTAGGGATCCTGCCCCCATGCTA